TAAAAAATGAATTATACTCGAGGCCGAAGCATACAGAATTTTTTTTGTTCTTGTACTGGTTCTACTTCTACATACATGTACACCACAGTTTAAGGCATTGTTGTTAGCTCTTTCGTATCACAACTGGTTCGCGTAAAATTATCAAAATATTATTTCCAACAAAACACAATTAGGCGGTGTTACGCATCAGCAGACCATTATATGTAGGTACTTATTTGCAGTTCACGTGCTCAGTGGGCTCTCGGCCAATGAAAAGGAAGAAAAAACAGATCAAATGATAACTTGTTTTATTTTTGGCTTATCGTTATTATATTGTTATCGTTTGAAAGTATGAACATACTGGATATTCTTGAGTGCAGCTGAGGTTTTTCAGACGCCAAGTCCCTTCCAAATATAACCCCGACCATTTTTGAACCGCGGTTCTGGCAACAATAAGCCCTGTCAAAAATTAAAAACCATCCAGGAATAAACTCCCTAAAAAACTTTTTGGAATAGAAATATGATCTTGGCTTCAGAGTAATTTTCCATCGTTTCCAAAGAATATTCGCCCGGATACAAACTAAATTACTTGTCGCCAAATGCAATCAAAATACAGCCAGTGAAATATTGCTGTTCCCACGGTTAACACCCCAAAGCCAAGACGATTCAAAGTCGTGTTCGTGAACATAATAAATCGATCATCCTTGCCATGTGACAAATACACGTCATCTTGCATCCCGACGAAACAGGCCACATTTATGTTGATTTGCACGGTCCAGAATCATAACTACAAACGAGCGAATGATCGAGAAACTAAAACAGACTCATACGCACGTGGCGTACTTTGCAATGATTTCATTGGTTCTCGCCCCTGCTCTGAGGACGCCAATCCGCTTGTCTCATAAAACCTCAATGCAGTCTGCATCAGAACTACGTTCTTCTTTTCGTCGAACGCAAATAACCATGCATATCCTCAATTTTGTTTTAGTATCAATTCTACGCCTGAAAAGCTTTGTGATTATATATCGATCAACCATTAAATAAATATGACTGGCCAGATTGCTTCTGTGAAATATGTGCTTCAATACTGGGAGAATAACAGAAGACAATATAAGATTGTTCGTAATGTGCGGGTTGCGTTGATGTAATCAGTAAACTAGACATGAAGTATTATTCAACACTTACATTTTCTTTCTCAGTTCCTTTAATTAAGTTGATAGCTGATTCGTCCTTCGGTCTCATCAACTTTCAAATCAAAGAAGTCGAGAGAGATTTAGAAAAAAAATAGGCCAATTCCGAGTTACCTTGTGAATATGAGTTTGATTTGCATGAAAATGAACATACAGAGGAACACATTTTCATATGAGCGGTTTCGCGCGAAGAGCTCGTTTTGACACAGATCAAGGCAACTCGGATATGGCTTATGTCAGTTTTAGTGGAACGTTTCCCTAATTTCCAACTGCTTTTCCACGTGTGCACACGCGCTCATCAGTTTTTTTTTAACAATTTCCAGTTTTAAGGTCGAGTAAGTGTAAAAAAAATTGCTTATAAATTGCTTATAGTTTGAGTTAAAACAGGAAACGTGGGATGTTTTGGCTGCAAAGTACTCGGACCACTTCACACTTGTGTGTCAGACGGTTGATGACGCGAAAAATATAGCCCTTGAAGTGACGATGTCTATATCTCAAGGGATAATGTTTACGCAGTCTGTGGTCTAATATCATGACATACACTTTTTTTCTACAAGGATATATTTAATAAGAATATCGAGGCTGAAATTAGCCAAATTTTAAGAACATCTAAGAATAAGCCCGAGTCTTGAAAATAAAATATCGAGGCTTGAAAATAAAATACCTTTTTGCGTTGAAAATTTGTAAGTACGATACAATTATGTTTTAAACTAAACCGCATAAAATTCTGTCTTTCTCTAAACGGCAAAACAAGCTAAAAAAAACAACAAACTCAGCACTGGCCGTGCGTTCGATGCTAATGACATTTCTGAAAGAAGTTATTCGTGTCAATTTAGGATTATTTCCTGTAGACTGGCTCCAAAATGACTTCAACGCCATCTTTGAATTCCTTAATCTATCTGGCTAAAAATACTCTCGACAATATTCTCAGTATAAAATGGGCAGAAAAATTGCAATATTCAGCCTGGGCCAGAAAAATGATATTGTTATAGCAAAACGAAAGGTTTATTGGCGATAACAATACCTCACAAAGTTTAAGTTAATAATATTTTTTTGCCTTATTTTTAGCTATAAAAGCACATGGCAAAGACTTTTATTGCTAAATCGAAGGACAAAATGCAGACTTAGGAATATTATCTGACTTGTGTTAAGTATGGAGTTATAATTAGTCTATAACCTTTGCCGCCCCCGGCGCAATATTTGCTACTATAACAAATCAGATAACTATAGATTAGGTAGCCAGGAGAGTATCTAAACAGCCACACAGCAGTCATTTTGAAAGTGTAGTTCATTTGCCGAGAGCTGCAAGAGAAAGAAGAGGAAGAAGAAGAAGAAGAAGAAGAAGAAGAAGAAGAAGAAGAAGAAGAAGAAGAAGCAGATTAATTAAATTTCTTAACTACCAGGTAATAGGAAATCGTAGTTTTGAAATGTCTTTGTTAGTGAAAAATAAGGCCATACCCATCAATTCCCAGCACACACAATACTGAGTATCTTTTTCATCTAGTTTTGATCTAATTTTTCCCTGGTGCGCTGCTTTGAAAGTTTTCTTTATCTGTTTTTTTTTTTTTCTTTCTTTCTTTCTTTCTTTCAGGGTTCAGGCCATTTTTTGAGAACAGTACACAGTTTACTGCCGCTGAAGTCAAAATGAAGGTAGTTACATTTAACACACATTGTGCGCCTAATGTAGAAACGGACGAAAGAGTTAATAAATTCTCTTAAGGGAAACATGCGAAATTCAAATCCGCACTGTTCTATCTTTTGACTTAGAATTTTCGTTCACCTGCGTGCCGGCACTTGCTGCTTCCATGTGATTTTTTCTACGACTCTTTTCTCGATGCCAAGTTCTCTTAACGTCTTGTATCTTAACTCGTAACTGGTGACTATTTGGCGTTGCCGTTCATGGTTTAGTACACTGTTGGAGTCAGCTTTTTCTGTTAAAATTTGAATTCATTTTAAGCCATTAAATCCTCAGGTTTTTGTATTGCAAAACACCTTTTAAATAGGCCATTTTCGAGTTACCTTGTGCCTCTGTTTCAAAACCAATCTTCGTGCAAAACCTTTCGTATGAAAACGAGTTTGATTTGCATGAAAATGAATCGAACCTGAATCTTTCGTGTTCTTGAGAAAGACGTTGTTGGGGGCGTGATCACCGACACTTGATAGGCTTTTCATGACAGTGAGTTTGATATAGTCTCTCCTGTTCCAGGCTCTCGGTCAGTGAGGGCGGACCTCCCTCTCTATCTCCCAGACCTCGCTCGTCGCGCACCCGCTTTTTCGATCGTCCCCGCTGGCTGAGAGCCTGGAACAAGATAGATATGGTCCGACGAACGTTTATTGTCGTGAACACATAAAAGGCGTTATGGCGAGATGAGGATAAGGCGAATCCTTCTCGTCTTACTTAAAATCCTGACTCCGTATTTCCTGCCAGATTTTCGAGAGAGCAACATTCTGCAAGCGGTCTGATCGAATACAGTTATTTTTCACTTAAAACGTATCA